GTACCGAGCTTTGTGTTGCCATCTTCGCAATTGGGTACAACCCTTTTTTGTGATCGTCTAACATGTGATTGAACTTCAGCTTCTCCTTTTGACTTTCGCATTGCATCCTTGCATCGACAATGACCCATCGGAGATCATCATCATCGGGCACATCATCTGGTTCCTCATGATCTTCAGCAGCTTCCCCCGTTGTAGCATCATTGGGCACATCGTTTGGTCCCTCTTGATCTTCAGCAGCTTCCCCCATTGCAGCATCACCGTATTCAGGGGGCACATAGTTGTCATCGTCCTCTTCTTCTTCGCCATCTTCCATCATAACCCCTATTTCTCCGTGCCTCGTCCAAACATTATAGTGTGGCATGAAACTATTGTAAAGCAGGTGGGTGTGAAGGATTTTCCGGTTAGAGTAAGACTTCGTATTCCCACATTTAGGGCATGGACAACACACAAAACCATTCTACTTGTTTGCCTCGGCCACTTCGAGAAAATCATGCACGCCCTTAATGTACTCGGAGGTGTGTCTGTCACCGTACATCCATTGCTGGTTCATCTGCATGCATTATATATAATTAAGTGTGTCAAAAACCATTACATAACATAATGAATAGATAATTAAGTTCATCATCACATTAAAACCAAAGTACATACATAGTTCTCATCTAACAACATATAGCTCTCCAGAGCATCTAATTAATTAAACCATATACTGAAACCATGTAAAACATTTCAATGCGAAAACAAATGCGATCATAATCGCAACCGAGGTAACAATTGATCCAACGGCATAATGATACCAAGCCTCGGTATGAACGGCATATTTTCTAATCTTTCTCATCTTCAACCGCATTGCATCCATCTTGATCTTGTTATCATTGACGACATCCGCAACATGCAACTCCAATATCATCTTCTCCTCCTCAATTTTTTTTATTTTTTCCTTCAAGTAATTGTTTTCTTCTTCAACTAAATTTAACCTCTCGACAATAGGGTCGGTTGGAATTTCCGGTTCAACTACCTCCTAGATAAATAAAATCTATGTCACATTGGTTGGCATAATTGTCATAAACAATAAATGAACCAAATAGTTATAAAAAGATAATATATACCACATCTGAATCATAGCCAGGACGAGGGCCAATGGGGGCGGATACCAAAACCATCGCACTATATAATAACAAGCAGTAATAAAAGTAAGAAAATTAGACAAGTATCTATGTAAAGTAAGAATTTTTTCTTTCAGAAAGAAGATAAGAACAAGAAGCTCACCACGATGGTGCCGGCGACGAGATCGGTGCGGGCGATCGACGACGGTGAAGACGGGAATGGGACGTGACGGGCCGCTAAACCTAGACAAATCTCGAGGAAAATGGAGCTTAGAGGTGAGCTTCGAGAGGAGAAAGCTTAACTAGTGTGGCTCGGGCATTTCATTGAACACCTCATGTGCATAGGAGGTGAGCTAGAGCACCACAAAGCCCTCCCCTCGCCGGCTAGAGAAAAACAGAGCACTGGGGTGCTCTGCTCGCGGGCGAGGGGTATATATAGGCTCCTCATTGGTCCCGGTTCGTGGCATGAACCGGGACTAAAGGGAAGCCTATGGTCCCGGTTCAAGCCACCAACCGAGGCCAATGGTGGTGGGCCAGGAGCGAGGCCCATTGGTCCCGGTTCGTCCCACCAACTAGGACCAAAGGGGCCAGACGAACCAGGACCAATGCCCCCAAGAGGCCGGCAGGCCCCTGGCCTCACAAACCGGGACCAATGCCCCCATGGGTCCTGGTTCTGGACTGAACCGGGATTAATGGGCTGACCTGGCCTGAACCAAAGCCCTCTTTTCTACTAGTGGTACCCGACCATAGCTAGCAAAACACGGGAGAAAGCCCTAGACTAGAAACCACAAATCAATCGAAGAATCGCCAAGCTCAATCGATCACCGTAAAAGTAGTGCCGACACAGCATGGCGACCAGAGCTGCATCTCTTGCTCTATGTGCACTCCTCGCACTCTCCCTAGGTTGGACCCTCTCTCTCCGTTTCATAATAGAGATCGAGGGTAGGGACTTCTTGTTGCCACGGGTAACAACACACTATTATTGGTGGAAAATAGAACGAGAAAGAAACGAGCAGATGATAGAGATCACTCAAATCTGACACCTACCATGACCGCGCCATCCACACGCATAAGTGTGCCTTGCCGGCAGAGAAAGAAGCCGGCTTCATGAAGATGGAAGAAATGGTGGCCACCATGTCTGCGCCCGTCGCCATCACCGAGGAGAAGTTGAACACGGGAGGCCGCCGCCGTTTGGGTCACATGAAGGCCACCACCGAGGCGATGACGGCGTACACAACCGGTGTCTTGCCTGGTCGCAGGCCACCATCGCCCCCTTCCCTCCCGCTAAAGCACATCGTGGTGGTTGCACTCCGATGTGTGGTGTTGCCAAGCATGGGGAAGCGAGCCGCCCTTTGCGCTGAAGCATATACGTTTGGGGTTCTCGACAGTCTGACGAGTGGGCTGCCAGACATGCGGAAGACAATGAAGATCCGACGTGGCTGGTCATAGACTAGTCAAGGGTATCCGTGTCGTGGAAATGTATATCCGCCGGCGCCGGCTGTAGACTAGTTTTACCTTAGTCCAATCTAGTTTTTAGTTAAAAATTGTCAAAAATGTAACGAATTTTGGCTGGTTTATATAAAATCAGTCGTGTTTGCATTAATTCCGTCCAATTAGCTCAAACAGAAGTTGAAATATAAGCAGGCAGCGTTGTATGGTGGCCTTTGGCCCATCAGTATCAGCGGACTGGCCTCTATCTGCAGATAGATGACGGAGCAAATTTGAGGTTTAGTATTGAAGATGCCCTAAGGCTACCGTAGTTGCATGTTGTTACAAATCCTTCCACGTTTGGCTCCAAGTTGGGAAGCTAATTATGATCATGGGCTCTCCTTGGGGTGGGCGCTGAGAAATTTACGCCAAACTCATAGGTACAGAGGGAGTAATAACTTAAGAGTATCTATAGCCGAACGCCCCAACCCCCTTTATACATCCAGGCGGACGGCCCGTCAGTGATCGGCCACAAAAAAGCGATCCAGATGGACGCCATAAATGGGTCTCAAATGCCCGGACCAATCGACACCTCTCATATCTAACCCCAAATGCCCGGGCGCGTCCGTCACATTGGACCGGGCCCACGCTGGTCAACCTGACCCCACATAAAGAGATTGCGTGACACCCGGGGGTACATCATCTTCGATGACGTCTACCGCGTCGACCCCCACGTGCTCACGCGGGAGTACACGCCGTCGAGCAGCCGCGCAGGAGAACACACGTGGTAGTTCCTCGGCGAGACCAAGTTCTAGAGCCAGATTGCGGGCGGGGGCATCAGCAAGCGCGCCGACCGCAGTGTCACCACCGGAGGTTATTGGGTGGTGGAGGAGTTTTAAATGCACATGCAGACATATGCCATCGCCTTTTGTTGGGGTTAAGTTAGGCATGCCAAGAAGCATATATGAAAATCAACTGCGGATGATTCATTAGTCTCTTCTGGATATGCTTCTTTGGTGGTGGCGTTGACATAATCAATTCATCCATTTTTGTGTCTCTCAGTTGGTGAGGTTGGAATGCCTATCTCATATATGCACCTGTAGTAAGCATCCCATTATTTCCTTAAAAAAGTCTTTATGTCAATAATTATCCTTTCGATATATATTCTCGGAAAGTGAGAAATACAAGTTTCGAATAGCACTATGGGTTTGGTTTGCAATAGTTGCCCACCTTGCACTACTAACCATGCTGCTTTGTCCAATTTAGTATGCGCAGATGGCCATTTTGCTATTGAACCATCGGATATTTCAGAAACCATAGAGAGGTTTTGAGGCCTGAAAAGTTCTATGGACAGAAAAAGCACGCAGCTTAAGTCATTCAATTCTCTCTGGCACTCATTATGTAAGCCACACCATAATCATATTAACTATCCGATATGAGGTGTAAAGAGGGAATCTCAAACAAACACATTTTTGTGAAAATTGTCGCTCACTAATATATGTCTAAAAAACTTAAATTTCCTTTACTCTTCTTTGATATGTTATGTGTTATGTTGTAAGAAATCCGTTATCCACTGTGACAACTGTCACATGTTGTATATGCCTATGAAACAATGAAAATGTTACTCTTGAAATTATGTTGGTTATCCTTTAAAGCTTCGGTGGGTATTTATATTTTATACATGCTTATTTCTTATGTGTCATTTGACCTGTGAAGGTGATGTCACAACAGGACGGGCATCAAAGTTTGGCCCCTTAGCAAGTATTACTTACTATCATATTATATATGTATCATTGTTCCCGCAAAAAAAATATGTATCATTGTCTAATATAGGGATATTTTAAGTAAATATATTTTCTTTATCTTTTTTCAAATATTTACACAATACTAACTTCTTAAAAAATGAACGAACGGAGCAATGTGCACGATCATGATCTAGTAACTCGCAAAACAAAAATGCGGCCTCTAAGCATGAGATCACCTAGATTTGATGAATTATTCCTTCGGTACCATATAGAGTAGAGATCCTACCAAGACGTTCCCATTGGGAATAATTAAAGGTAATCCCTCGGTTTCTAAATATAAGACATTTTAGAGATTTTAATAGGGTCTACATATGGGTGTATACAAACGCATTTCAGAGCATAGAGTCACTTAATTTGCTTTGTACGTAGTCCATATTGAAGTCTCCAAAAAGACATATATTTAGGAATGAAGCAAGTAGTACTATATTTGAACAGACATATTTAGGAATGGAGTAAGTGCTATAATTGAGAAGATACGGCAATAGAATACTTACCATATGTGTAACTTATCCTCGTCAGCCACTCCTATTTATATACCACGACCAAACAGATGTACCCGACCATAGCTAGCGAAACACGAGAGGAAGCCCTAGACTAGAAACCACAAATCGATTGAAGAATCGCCAACCTCGATCGATCGCCGTAAAAGTAGTGCCGACACAGCATGGCGACCAAAGCTGCATCTCTAGCTCTATGTGCTCCCCTCGTAGTCTCCCTAGGTTGGATCCTCTCTCTCCGTTTCATAATTCTTCCCGTGATTTTAGTTCAAACTACTGGTTAACTGATCTATACTTGTTTACATACACGATGCCTCAGTTTGTCAGGCAGTCTCTCGTGTGGATCCTGCCGGAGGGGTGGCGGTGAAAGGGTACCCGTGCGGCTACGTCGTCGTCATCCGCGTCCCGCACGACGGTGTCTGCCAGCGGGACCGTTGCGGCGGGCTGTGCGTGGAGCAGTTCATGTGGAAGTACCCGAGCATCAAGGCCGTCATAGGCGACTGCACGGCGGAGAATACCCACGAATGCATCTGCTCTTTTCTTTGCTAGTTGAACTTGATGTACAAGGGTAGTAGCCAATTTTGTGATGTTTGGCTCGGAGGAAATAAAACTTGCTGCTCATTCTTTTCTTTTTTGCTTTGTCAGCCCTAGCTATTTTGTTCTTGAGAATATATAATTCAGCCATATATGGACGGGCTCAAAATAGGGACTTCTTGTTGCCACGGGTAACAACACACTATTATTGGAGGAAAATAGAGCGAGCAAGAAACAAGCAGATAATAGAGATCGCTCAGATCTGACACCTACCATGACCGGCCCATTCGCCATGAACGTACGCATAAGTGTGCCTTGCCGGCGGAGAAAGAAGCCAGCTAAACGAAGATGGACGAAATGGTGGCCACCACGTCTGCGCCCGCCGCTATAATCAAGGACAAGTTGAACATGGGAGGCAGCCACCGCTTGGGTCACATGAAGGCCACCACCGAGGCGGGGAACATATCTGGTGCACCAAGGTAATTGGTGCTACCGGTGCATCGGAGCCCGTTGCACACTAAAAAATGTTCAAAAAAATTTGGAAAAAATTTAGTGTATCGATGTATGTTGTCACAAAAAACCAAATCAAAATTCAAAACAATGATCAAGATACAAAAATGACAAATTTGACGTCAATGTGCTAGTGGGCCAAAACTGAAGCCCAACTTGTGTTACGTCCTATTCAGTGTCAAATTTGTTATTTATGTATCTCAAGCAATGTTTCAAATATTTATCTAAATTTTTGTGACAACATACATTCATGTTGTATCAATGCACTAAATTTTTTTTTGAATTTTTTTGAACATTTTTGAATGTGCAATGGGCAACCGGTGCACCGGTAGCACAAATTGCCCCGGTGCACCAGAAACATCCCCCACCGAGGTGATGCCGGCATACACAACCGGTATCTTGCCCGGTCGCAGGCCACCATCGCCCCCTTCCCTCCCACTAAAGCACATCGCGGTGGTTGCACTCCGATGTGCGGTGTTGCCGAGCATGGGTAAGTGAGCCGCCCTTTGCGCTGAAGCATATACCTTTGGGGCTCTCGACAGTCCGACGAGCGGGCTACCAGACATGCAGAAGACAATGAAGATCCGCCGCGGCCGGTCATAGACTAGTCAAGGGTATCTGTGTCGTGGGAATGTATATCCGCCGGCGCCAGCTGTAGACTAGTTTTACCTTAGTCCAGTATAGTTTTTAGTTAAAAATTATCAAAAATGTAATGAATTTTGGCCGATTTATATAAAATCAGTCATGTTTGCATTAATTCCGTCCAATTAGCTCAAACAAAGGTTAAAATATAAGCGGGCAGCGTTGTATGGTGACTTTTGGCACATCAGTATCTACAGACTGGCCTCTATCTACAGATAGATGACGGAGCAAATTTGAGGTTCAGTGTTGAAGATGCCCTAAGGTTACCGTAGTTGCATGTTGTTACAAATCCTTCTACGTTTGGCTCCATGTTGGGAAGCTAATTATGATCATGGGCTCTCCTTGGGGTGGGGGCTGAGAAATTTACGCCAAACTCATAGATACAGAGGGAGTAATAACATAAGAGTATATATAGCCGGACGCCCCAACCCGCCTTATATGTTCAGGCGGACGACCCGGTCAGTGATCGGCCACAAAAAAGTGATCAAGATGGACGCCATAAACGGGTCTCAAATGCCCGGACTGATTGACACCTCCCATATCCAACCCCAAATGCCCGGGCACGTCCGCCACATTGGACCGGGCCCATGCTCGTCAACCTGACTCCACATAAGGAGATTGCCAGACGCCCGGGGGTACATCTTCGATAACGTCTACCACGTCGACCCCCACGTGCTCACGTGGGAGTACACGCTGTCGAGCAGCCGCGCAGGCGAACACATGTGGTAGTTCCTCAGTGAGACCATGTTCCAGAGCCAGATCGCAGGCGGGGGCATCAGCAAGCGCGCCGACCGCAGTGTCACCACCGGCAGTTACTGGGTGGTGGAGGAGTTTTACAATGCACATGCAGACATATGCCCATCGCCTTTTGTTGGGGTTAAGTTAGGCATGCCAAGAAGCATATGCAAATCGACTGCGGATGATTCATTAGTCTCGTCTAGATATGCTTCTTTGGTGGTGGCGTTGACATAATCAATTCGTCCGTTTTTGTGTCTCTCAGTTGGTGAGGTTGGAATGCCTATCTCATATGTGCACCTGTAGTAAGTCTCCCATTATTTCCTTAAAAAAGTCTTTATGTCAATAATTTTCCTTTTGATATATATTCTCGGAAAGTGAGAAATACAAGTTTCGAATAGCACTATGGGTCTACAAGTTTCGAATAGCACTATGGGTCTGGTTTGCAATAGTCGCCCACGTTGCACTACTAACCATGCTGCTTTGTCCAATTTAGTATGCGTAGATGGCCATTTTGTTATTGAACCATCAGATATTTCAAAAACCATAGAAACGTTTTGAGCCATGAAAAGTTCGATGGACAGAAAAAGCACGCAGCTTAAGTCATTCAATTCTCTCTAGCCCTCATTATGTAAGCCACACCATAATCATATTAACTATCCGATATGAGGTGTAAAGAGGGAATCTCAAACAAACACATTTTTGTGAAAACTATCGCTCACTAATATATGCCTAAAAAAGCTTAAATTTCCGCTACTCTTCTTTGATACTTTATGTGTTATGTTGTAAGAAAAACGTTATCCACTGTGACAACTGTCACATGTTGTATATGCCTATGAAACAATGAAAATGTTACTCTTGAAATTATGTTGGTTATCCTTTAAAGCTTCGGTGGGTATTTATGTTGGAAATATTAGCACTTTTCCGATTAGACTTATCCACGAGTTAACAGTAAGCATGGCATAAAAGGTATGCATCTCATAGCGATACCTAAGCATAATAGCACGTACAGAACATAGAATCGAACCTTCTATGAGCAGCACATATACGGCTAGCATAAGTACGAGTAAACGAGGGATGGACAGATCATACCCTCCGGTTGGCCAGGCCAACGCGGCGGCTGCAGCAGCAGCCTCGGCGTCGTCTGTGGCCTTCTTCTTAGCGGCAGCGTCGTCGGCCATGGTGTCGATGCAGAGGAAGTAGTGGAAGCAGAGGCGAACAGAGTTGGGGACGGATCGGGAGCAGTCGCGTCGAGACGCTCCCCAAAAACCTTATTGCCGTTCTCCCGGGAAGGATCTCGAACGACAGGGTTCCGGAGGCACCTGCTCTCCCGACCAGCGGTGCACGCGGTCGTCGGGATGGGATCGCCGGAGGCAGCACAGAGTGAGGAACAGTAGATGACGGCTAGGTCACGCGAGAGGGAGTGAGTGAACCGAACTAGCTTACTTCACTGGCCAGAGCCTTCTTATATAGTCCGTAAGGAAGAAAGTCGTGGGCCTTGACGAGGCCCACGACCGAGTCGGCCCGCGACCGGCAAGGGAGTCGTTGTTCCCGGCAAGGGTCGCACTCCCGGCAAGGGAGTCGACGAATATGCGGGTCCCGGCAAGGGAGTCGAGAATCCCGGCAACGCAAGTCAGCCCACCGTCCAACGTCTTGCACAATGGCCCACATTTTAGCGACTCGTTAATTAATCCCTGATTAATTAATTCATTCCTGAGCGGCAAAAATAAGCTTCGGCTCGGCTCATTCCCGCAACCCGCGGCGCGCGCGCGTCGTGACGAGGCGAGGCGGGTGGCGGAGGAGGAGGAGCGCGCGTGTACCACTCCTCTGCCGAAGCTTCCAATGGCAAGTGGTAGAGCAGCCCTTATAAAGGGGTCTCAGCTCTCCTCAACTAGCAAGGTGGGACTAAACTTCCCACCACCTGCCATCTCATACATGGGCCTCAAGATTAACAAGGAATTAGTGTCTTATATGGACCTAAGCCCATCCATAATCCAACAATTTATATTTTGTACATGCTTATTTCTTATGTGTCATTTGACCTGTGAAGGTGATGTCACAACAGGACGGGCATCAAAGTTTGGCCCCTTAGCAAGTATTACTTACTATCATATTATATGTGTATCATTGTCTAATATTGGGGTATTTTATGTAAATATATTTTCTTTATCTTTTTTAAAATATTTGCACAATACTCTAACTTCTTAAAAAATGAACGAACGCAGCAACGCACGCGATCATGATCTAGTAACTCGCAAAACAAAAATGCAGCCTCTAAACATGAGATCGCCTAGATTTTATGAATTATTCCTTCGGTACCATATAGAGTAGAGATCCTACCAAGACGTTTCCATTAGGGATAATTAAAGGCAATCCCTCCGTTTTTAAATATAAGACATTTTAGAGATTTTAATAAGGACTACATATGGATGTATACAAATGCATTTCAGAGCGTAGAGGCACTTAATTTGCTTTGTATGTAGTCTATATTGAAATCTCTAAAAAAGACATATATTTAGGAATGAAGCAAGTAGTACTGTATTTGAAAAGACATATTTAGGAATGGAGTAGGTACTATAATTGAGAAGATACGGCAATAGAATACTTACTATATGTGTAACTTATCCTCATCAGCCGCTTCTATTTATATACCACGACCAAACAAACGTACCCGACCATAGCTAGCAAAACACGGGAGAAAGCCCTAGACTAGAAATCACAAATCGATTGAAGAATCACCAAGCTCGATCGATCGCTGTAAAAGTAGTGCCGACCAGAGCTGCATCTCTTGCTCTATGTGCTCTCCTCGCACTCTCCCTAGGTTGGACCCTCTTTCTCCGTTTCATAATTCTTGTCATGATTTTAATTCAAACTACTGGTTAACTGATCTGTGCTTGTTTACATACACGATGCCTCAATTTTTCAGGCAGTCTCTCGTGTGGATCCTGCCGGAGGGGTGGCGGTGAAAGGGTACCCGTGCGGCAACGTGGTCGTCATCCGCGTCCCGCACGACGGTGTCTGCCAGCGGGACTGTTGCGGCGGGCTGTGCGTGGAGCAGTTCATGTGAAAGTACCCGGGCATCAAGGCCGTCATAGGCGACTGCACGGCGGAGAATACCCACGAATGCA